GAATACACCGTAATACACAGCTGATATACGTATACGCATACTTGGGGCCCGACGTGTCACAACCCGAGGTGCGCGGAAAATGAAAAAAAATAAATAGATTTTATACACCGTGGGACTGCGGGCCGACGATTATTTACGATCGACGTGTGTGCAACAAGTGGGAGTGATGTACTTATATTTATTATTATTGTATGACGTCTGCGAGAGAGACCGACCCAGCAATTCAAGTGTGGAGTAACGATTATTATATTATTACTATTATATGTACGGAAACGGTTTTTTTTGTTGGCTTTGACGATTATTATACATTACCGAAACGTTTTTTTGCTTTTATTTTTTTTTGTTTTTGACGATTATTTTATCACAGAAACGTTTTCTTTTCCAGACGATTATTTTTATTTTCCTACCGAAACGTAAGTCTGTCTTGAACTTTAACGTTTGTATAATATACAGCAGTAATAAAAGACATATTTTTTTAATTTTTTTTATTAGAGTTAAGGCTTCAACTACTAAGGTCATTAGCCTGTGGTACTGTGGAGGAGGGTACTGTAGATTTGTTTACACGTGTGTGTTTGTTTTGGCAGAATTTTTGATTTGGGCACCCGTAGGTATTTGCCATGCCCGGTCGGGGGTTGTTGGCCTCTCTTTCCAGACAGAATGTCTCAGAAAATCTCAGAATTTTATATCAATGAAAAATATTTGAATTATAAATCTTAAAAAAAAAACTTTTTGTTTGTAATTCAGTTGAATTAGCTCACCCTGGGCAATTTGAAATGAACTGGGATGGTCTCATGAGTCGTGTTATATAATTATTATTTATATGTTGTGCCAGGTTGTAGTACACACTCGGGCCAGTGGCGTATTTAGGTATTTGTCATGGGGGGGGGGATATGATTTTATTCAGTAGTCCCGCTTTTAAAGCTAGACGTCTTAAGTTAGGACTCCGAAAAATGTTGCTTATTGTATACAGCCTATTGATCTCGGGCTATATACCTTTTACAAAATGTTATAAAAAGAAAATTTTAAAATCAACGTCAAAGTTACGTAATGTCATGACGTATGTGTGAAAGTTAGGTTATAAATGTATAATTAAGCACAGACGACAGTCCTCACATTATTAGACGAACAATGCACGTTAATTTTGAGGTAAAATATAGGGAGCACTTTTTGTAATACTAAACATAATAGAACATAATATTATATAATATATAACTACTTGCTTGCATCGGTCATTCAGTCACAAAATCAAGCCCTCTATATCACTGACCGGTGACCGCGAAGCATAATGTTACTAATTTTTAGGCAGGGCTTGTCTATGACTAGCTATTAGCTATATTATAATACAAGCCATTAGGTCTGTGATAAATATATAATATGTGTTACACGCTCCCTCATGGTTATTTACTACGTATACACCTCGTACACACATACTCTTCGCGTTGCCTATATTTACTCCTTAAAAAAAGACTAATTCTCTAGACAAATATCCAAATAGGTACTAATAAAAAATGGTGGGCAAGTTAAGTGAATTCAATTAAATTGCCTTCAGTTAAGTTAAAAGTTAACAAAGAAAAAATTGAACTAGATAGTTTAAAGTTAAGATAGAAAATAAAATTAACTTATCTCAGTTAAAAAAAGTTCATTTTTTTTAAGGTACAATATTTTTAAATCATAAACCATCATAGTATTTTGTTATACACAAACATTTACCAAGATATTTAACACTGTGTAAAAACTTAGATTATTATAATATATAATTCGAAAATAAATTACCAAAATTGTAAAAAAAGTCGACAAATCAGTATTGCCAAGTTGATTATGTTATTACAGTTAGTGCATCTGGTTTCACAGCTTCTTTCGTTCTAACGATGTTCCTAGATGATGCTGTAGACAGTGCACTACACAGCCTAAGACCGTTTTAGAAACAAATTTAACTTAAGGATTAAAGAATATGGGCTTGCCCTTACCATGTCAGGCCGACTTCTACAGTACTGCTGCAGCGGTGGATCTATCGCTGTCGTTTCGGAACCTTCGAAAGTGACCGTTGAATATGGCCAAAAACACTTGTTGAACGGAAACCGGAAAAGAGAATGCCAGCAACAACCGCACTCAGAAAATAATATTATTTAATTTATGAAAAAAACCTTTTTAAATATTGAAAGAAGGAAATGGTTTTTATCCAATGAAATCAATTCATTATTTTCAGGAAATTGAGATTTTAAAAACAAAGTAAATTTATATTAAATTAATGATGAGTGATGCCTTTGTACTGCAGTTTGCCTATTATTATAACCATGCAAACAATCATAATAATACCTACATGGTTAATACAATTATGGTTATACGTCTTGTATATTATGCACTATACAGCATAAATTCGCGCTTAGGCTGTATAAAAATTGAGTCATTGATAACAGCTGGTACCTAATCTATACAAAATAAAAAATATTATGCAAAACGATGTTTACACGAATATCACGTATACATGGGTGTATATTTGAAATAGTTTCACTAAGCTTGGAGTTGCACAAATTCGTTTGACAAAAAAAAGGAGGTATCAAAATCGAATGTATTTACAAATTACAATATACATATATTATACCTACTATTATCGGTAACTACTAACTATAATATATCATATTCTATATACGTATATGAACCGTTATTGTTATAATGTTATGACTTCGACTGAAATTAATTCTGCGTGGAAAGCAAAATTGCCAAAAATATCTCCAAGTATAAATTGTTATTAAACTTAAGTCCATATTAAACAGTTAACGAATAATATAAGAGTAGAGGTGAACAACATTTCGATAAACAAAAAATTACAATTACAAAAATGGACGACTAAATTGATTGGCAATAGGTGCATTTTATCGATGGCGAATTAAAAATAAAACCAAACCAAAATATCGTCAACTGATTAGTTATACAGAATGATTTTTTAAGCATGCTCTCCCTATTTGCATGCTTAAATTATACATATATGTATTCAAATTATTGATTTTTGGAATTTTTAAGTACACATGCGGAGACCATATTTTTGTATACTTGAGATTTATTGTACCACCTAAGGATAATCCTGTGACAATACAAACTTCTGTTTTTCAAATAGGAACCTCCTTTTTCACTTTTAATTTTTTAACTGATATTTTTTTGTTGAGAATTTTCATGTACCTAAATCAAAATTCGAATAAGTAGTTTTTGAGTTATATAACTTTGTGTATAAAAAGGACAATATGTCTATGGACTATGGTAACGGGCTAAAAATATTTTGAGGCTTAGATGATTTGAACATTTTAGTGATTACTATTAATCTATCAATATAAACGGTTTGTAAAGATGATCTAAGTATAATGAATACTAAATCTAATATTACATATTATAGCTTATATTTTTATAAAACCATATTTAGTACAAACGTTTTAATATCTCAGAAACTACTTATTAAAATTTTAATTTAGATACATCAACATTTTCAAGAAAATTACTCGGTAAACAATTTACAGTAAAAGGGGGGATGTTCTCATTTTAAAAATAGATGTTTGTATCGCCACAGGACACTCTTCAAGTAATATGTACAAAAAATATCAGAATTTTAATAAATGTAAGATTAAAGGGATATAATAAGGGTGAGCATGTTTAAAAATCACCCTGTGTATTTAATCACAATGTCTCCACTCTCCAATAGTAGTAATAACTAATATATTATGGTATCTACACAGTAGGTACCCATGTAAAAAAGTTTTTGCTGTCTGGTTTATAGACTGCGAGGTAAGTTGGACTGAATACAAACTAGCTGTTTCAGCTTTAAACATTTTATCGAAAATTTCGATTATTACTATTAAGTATAGTTACTTCCTATTTAGAAAGGAAAAAACTGAATTCTTAAACTGCGTTTTGCTTTTAAGTCACTATATATACACGAGTACTGCAGGTCTCGTTGACACTGATATTATATTATAATGCGATAACTGATAATTATTATATTGTTTACGAAAAGGTAATCCTACATATTTTGAAATATATAAATTGTACTATACAGTTATATGATATATTTATAATCTTAACGACGCACTCGGCCGATCCAAAACATATTATTATTCTTGAAGAACATTAAATTGTACAACTTAGTTTAAGTACCTATGTAAAACAAGCCAATGGTCCTGTTATCGTGGTTTTTCTTTTTCCTAAATAATATACACTCATATAATATGCATTCAGTTATAATTTGTTCATATTTCCAATAATTGAATGCAATCGTTAAGGCCGGGTTAAGCATTTAAAATCGTTTAGCTCTTTATAAGACAACTAACTTCTTTTAATGTAAAGAAATAAAAAAAAACATTAATTGCAATTTTTTTCAAGTCCTTTGATTAAATATATAGATATTAATAGTTATACATTATTAACTTATAAACAAAAACATCCAATTTTAAATTTATCATTAAGACATAAAATGTATACAACTATTTTGCTCCTTATATTAACCTAATATTTAATTTATTTAGTAATTACTAGGTACTAGGTAGTCAAAACAGTTACTTTTAATAAGCATTAAAGGCTTATGATTTCGAGACAGTTGATTACGACTAGTTATTTACAGTATATATACTACATACAAACATTAAATAGGTAAGTACTATTGCTAAGAAAATTTAAATCTAAGTCTAAATGATAAATTAACTGTCATATAACATTGAAATTCGAAGTACCTATAATATTCTATATAATATATAATATTATATTGTTTTATAGTAGGTATTACATATTATTATATCAACATATTTTATTTTATTAATATAATAAATTATAGTAATTCTATCAAATATTACCTTAAATCTTTGGTATGACAATTGTGAGATTTTTATTTTTATTGGGTACATGCTAGGTATAGATTATATAAGTCATATATTACTTTACAAATCATGAAAGGAATAATACACGAATAAGTTGTGGTACAATGGGCCAAATGATTTCACTTAACTAACATTCAACTCTTATAATTCTTCATAATATCTATAAAGTATAAACAAACAATGCATTTTAAATAAGTAAAACAAATAATTAAATTTTTGTAGATAAATATTTTTAATTTATAAAAATAATATAATATATAATTGTAATTGTAAATGTTAAATAAAATAGCTACTAGAGTACTTAAAATGTTGATATTGATACTATATATTTATTTAATCTAATACAAATTATGATAAATTCATAATAGTTGTAGCTGATTTAAATCTTTATAATTTAGGCTGAACATATTTATTTATAAAAAAAAAACAATTTGGCTAAATTCTAAAAAAATCTCCAAAAATTTTAGCAATTTTTTTATTTTTAATGATATTTTGGAGATAATGTTCGTTTGTTAAATGTGGTAAATATCAAAATTGTTGTGAGGGTTCATAATAATACATTGTGCAATATGCCAAGGATAATATGTTTTATGTTTATCGCTGACCACTGTTCGTTGTCACTCCATTATACTCGTTACACACAAACTGTTGTTTATAAGCTATAGCTATTAATTTTTGGTTTCAATAATAACCTAATACAAAACAGCAAACATATTTTTTTATTCCATGTACTGGTTTTTCTTTATAAATGTATATTATCAATGAATATAATATTATGAAGACATCGAGATTAAAACAGGACTATCTACTAAAAAGAGGACAAAAAGGACAAGCAGGACACGATGTTCAAAAAAGAGAAAGTCCCGTTTTGAATGAGGTCATAGTAAACTCACCCTAGTCTGATTTAGTAATAAGTAATAAACTAATAACTAATAAGTGTATATACTGAATAGCGTATAGAATTATAGAGAAAGCTAATAAAAAAAAGATAACACATATTTTATAACACTCTATTTCCACATAATTTTACTTTAAATTATTATAAATTATATTTTAATAACCCATTTATATGCAACACGAGACTCAAATTTTAAGATAAATATTAGCTTAAACAATAAATAAACTCGTGGTTATCAGTTTCTATTTTAAAATGAACTATCAATAATTTTTAATAGATAAATTAGTGAGAATATCTATAATAAAAGTAATTACAAAAAAATATTTGACCTTAATGACGATTATTTTTAGATAGATAAGATATTTTTTATTATAAGTAGCATAACTATCAAATAAAATTGCCGAATAGGTATCTAATTGAAACACTCATTTGTTTTTATAACTGTTTACATAAAATATATTTTGATTAAATCAATGTTTGTTAATATTGACCTACCTATCAAAATATATTGTCTAGCTACGCCTCTGGTGCACCATATATATTATGCAATGTATGATATTCAAAAACTATTATGAGTTAAGGCAGTCCAGCTATTAAAAAGTCTCTAATAATCTAACCTCAATGACCTATTACAAATGTTGTTATCTCCGTCTATAATTTGCATTTTGCAGGACAAAGTAAAAACTTTTCTTTGACCTTCACTATACGGGTTCTAGGTCATTGATCAACAAGTTAATTGACTCAATTAAGTAATTGAAATATGAAACTATGATCTGTGATCAAGCGGTTAGGTATGATTTCATGAACAATACATTTAAAAAATATTAAATACAAAAATACTATCTAAATTTTAAAATATGTTAATATGCAGTACCTATAGTAATATAATTAATAATTATACAGTTAACTCAGTACCAACACAGATAATATTTTATTATTTTTTATTGGTAATTGATCAATCAAATCGATCAAAAGTTCAATTTGTTATGCAAATTAACAAAATATCGGAAAAGTAAGTCTATGTAAGGTGTTAACTTATAAGTTATTATATAAATACCATAATAACACTTTTATATTGAATGATAGAAAACTAATCTCACCGTTTATCAATAGATTCATCCACTTTGAAGAACGACAAAGTAGCCATAGTTAATGAGGCCATCAATAATATTAGTTGGACATATATTCCAAAGTAATTGCTATAGTAAAAGCTCACAGCGGCTGCTATTGACTACAATACAATAAACCATTACAGATATTATTTATAAATATTACAAGTAATATTATTAAATACAAAACAAATACCTGCATGAAATTGAACAAGGCCATGGGTGGAGCACTATTTTCAGAATACCTTAGTCCAATTATATTGTAAAGTTGGGTATTGAAGCAACTGTCGCCAAAACCCAAAAGAAAACTGCAGAAAATTGCTAGGTACTGACTAAAATTGTATGTAACTATGTAAGTATTTACTACGACTCTACGTATACATATTATTTCATGATAATAATGAATGTTAAAAATGTATACATTACTTGGGATCAATAAATGATTTGGCAGTTGTATCACCAAATGGTGAGTCGTTCGGTAAATTTATAAATATCAAACCGTATGCAACGATATTTACGATAAAACCTAATAGAATTACTGCTGAATGACTTAATCCTTTCGAGTTAGTGTTGTTGTCAAAAGTCTTTTGACCCAAAGTACTGAATATCAAACCTCCTACAAAAGCTTGAATGTATTTTGATTTTTCAAAGTAATAGTTTAATGTTATAACCTAGGATTTCGCCAACGCCAATCAATACTCCAGATAATCCCACAAGCTGTTTACTATTGGAACCCATTCTTTTAGTAAATCCAATACTCGAACTATAGACACTAGCATAGAATGACAAATGTAAACCTGTACAAAAATCTCAGAAACAATAAAAAAAATATTATGTATATATGAAAACAATGTTTATACTAACCAGTAAAAAAAAATGTTATATTTAATAAACGCATTTCTTTGGTTAAAAATAGCGACATCGTGTTTTTGGTTTCCTGAACAAAACTTATTGTTTCTACTCGTTCATTCACAGTTCCATCTGAGCTCACGGGAGGTCGTAAAAGTAAGAATAATGATGTACCAATTACACTTGCAGCTATGAGCACAATGTAGATAAACTTTCTGGTTGGTTCATCAAAATCGCTTTTATTGTGAAGTGCCAAAGACACAAATGTATTACCTAAAACCATACTTAAACATAAATAACAAAAATTATATATAATATAGTACCTATATATAAATAATAAAATGGTACCTAATAGTATATGATATTAAAAATATATAAAGTGTACTAAAACCTCAAATTCGATAGCGCCCAAAACATTCCTGTGTTTCTAGACATTGTAGATGAATCAGAGTTTAGTGTTAAGTACGTTCCTTGTCCTGTCCAAAGAATTGCAGCACCGAAACCTTGTACAGCAGACATAAGATACAGTAAAAATGAAGACAGCCAGAGAAATGATACTAAAAACATACTAAGCCCAATGGTGACATTCAGTACAATTATACGTAAGTATTTAGAATTCAACTCTAGTGTATATTTTAAATTATAATAATATTATGTAAACAAGTACAAACGTGTAACAAACTGCTCCTATAATCATAGCTATCTTACATCCCGTGTAATTGACAATTGATGGAGAAATCCAATTAGCCATTGCAAATACAAAATAGCTAATTGATAAACTAGTATAACCATCGCCGGTAAATGAAGGATACTCATTTTGCACACTTTTCAGTAAAGTTTCCTAAAAAAAATATAGCCGGTATTATAAATTAATATAAAACAATATTCAATTACGTAGGTAACATTTTTTTTTAAATTTATCACTGTATATTAAAATTTTTATTAATTATTATCTATTATTATAAACATATTCATAATATTGATTTTGCAGGCAAAGCATATATTTTTACATGTCTTTGCAGGCTTTTGCACTAATGTTAATGGGCAATGATCACCATGGAACATTGAACATTTTGTTAACTGTAAAAAAACTATTCCTCATAAGTCATAATATTATATTCCCAACCAGAAAAATGGCTTATAAAATAATTACTTCGATATTTCCTATAGTTTGATATGCAGCGAAAAGAAACAGGAACGATAAGCCTAACAGGCTAATGTTGTATAGCCTCTTATCCATTTTGATTTATATAATTTTGAACTACCGACTTGATATTTTCAGTATTTCCTGTAAATATAATATTAATTAGTAGGTGCCTAAATTATATATGTATTCACTATATTTCAACATTGTAAAAACTATTTCTAGAGATAATGGTAATTGAATTATATAAATACTAATAACTTAGTGTTACATCAATAATTTATAATACCTAATTAAATTAAACACAGACTAACAATATTTATCATTATAGTATAATACACATATATACATATTACATATATTATAATGTTATATTATATTATGTATTTTTTTAAATAAAATAAAACCACCAACTTGGCTGAAAATAATTTTTTTTCTAGTTATAATAATATTTAAATAATAATATGAATTATAACATTAATGATTGTTTGGAATTTGTTTACATCTTAATATATTTTTTTTTGCAATAAATTATCTACAGTAATTTCTTTGTGAATTGTAGTACTTGTTTGTTATATGTCTCGCGATAATATTCTTAGGAGTCATTATTAACAACTCAATAATTGTTATACAATCACTATATTTATGTAGTGCAATACCTATACTAGTAATCTATAATGATGCACTTCAACCGTAATAATTAATTAGGTAGTAAATAATTCTTGTGAGGACAATGCACATTTTTGTGACTTAACTATAGTTAATGTTTTAACTAAAACAATCTAACAAAATAATCTAAACAAAATTCTTCGAATGATAAAAAAACGAACTTTAAATGATCATAGGTTTTATGTGTCCATAATATGAGTTAATCTATATAATATTCAGTTTACGATGTTCAGTAGATACACGCATCTCAAGCAAATTAATGTTAAGTACCTACCTACCTATACCAAGTACCTATTAGTATAAACAATTCTTCTTTCTGATTAATGGCTGTGCTGTTTTACGAAACACGTCAGATAATAAAGTTCTAATTCGTTTCACTAGACATTTTTTTGTGGTTTGACCAGATTTATATTTTATAGTTTTGTAATTGTATATAGTAATAGTTCTTGTACGGTTTATGTCGTCAGGTAATTTTTAACTTAATTTATACATAAATTTGATTTTTCGATTAATTATTAAAAATTACACAATATATTGGTTTACCTTAGGTTCGTGAATCGTAATTGACATCGTGTATACAATATTCACTATAATAGAATAGTGTTATTAATAATAGGTAAGTAGGTACTACTATAGTGTACTACTATAGGTACACGCTGCAATGTTATAAGTCTTATAAAAAAATAATAAAAATCTGTTTCAAACCAAATGGATAACAAAAATCAAAGCATAGGTCCATAATATCGTTAACCAATTTTGAATTGCAGGCTCTTGTAACCACCATACACACAATTATGATATTATATGACATAGGCATATAGCACAAAGTACCAAGTTTTACATAAATTTACGACCGGTGGAAGTGGACCGGACGACCACTTCAACACAACCACCAGAAATCACTGAAAGTATGAAACTGAACAGTGATCCGTTAAAAACTGAGTTGGGCACAGATTGTAGTAGGGAACGCCCGAAGTCGAATGCGAAAATCACCGACTGGTTATCTTCAATATAATAACATAAATACAATTAAAATAAACATTTTAATCAACTTTATTTTTTTAATAACAAACGGTGATAAGAAGAAACACGGGTTCCCAATTTTTAATAGGTTTTAGATTTGATAAAAATGTGTCAAATTATACTAAGGTAGTATATAGGTATAAAAAAAAGAAGCGGGCATGTATATGACGTATAACCGCTCTGACTGCTGTACAGTAGGTGTCAAGTGTAGGTACTAGGTACCTTGGTGTATAAAAAATAATATAATAATATACTAATAAATAATAATGGATATGTTCAATTTGAATTCAGTTAAAATCATTGCATACAAATAACGCTTCTGAGATGTTGAATTACTTTGGTGATATATTAATAGAAATTACCTATTATGTTATTATTATTATTTACTTTAAATCGTACTGTAAGGTTTGGTAAATATGTGTGTTTTAGTTTTGTCAGAATTTCAAATTGGGATGGCGGCCTCTCTCTGCTCTAGGCAGTCGCCTGCCCGGACGAGAGAAGCCGACCGTGATCGAGATTCGAACCGGCCACTCTATCCCCCCATTTGAAGTTTATATGTAGACAAAATTGATCAAAATCACAAAAATCACGAACATTTTCAAATTATTTTATATTGTTTACATTTTCAACTTTGATAGCTAAGTATTGAAAATTTAAAACAAGGTTTCTCATAATTAGTCCATATACTGTAATCAAAATATGTAAAAGATATATTGTATTATTAATGGTAAAATAAAATACTTTATAATAGCAATAATATCATATAATATACTTAGTAATATATAGGCTGACAGATATCTACTGAAATATGTTGAAATATATCGACGGTGTAGCTTCTATAGCATGATTATTATTAATTTTCGGTATAACTAAGATAATTATTAAGTCTTGCCACAATATAACCATTAACCAAAGACAATGCGATGGAAATTGACCACAACTTAAAAGTTTCAATAATACAATAATCAGTTGCTAACTGCCTGTTAATGTGATTTTTGAAATAACATTTTATTTTTCTGTTAAGCTTCGAAAACTTAATATTTAAATAGCAAAAAGTCCTCCTCGTATAACTGCATTTATAAGGTATTTGGGTACTTTATAATAGATAAATAGGGCATGGCAGATACCTACGGGTGCCCAATCAAAAGTTCTGCCAAACAAACACACACGTGTTCCCCCCTACCGACATAAAACCCTACAAAACCATACAGGTAATGGCCATAGTCACCGGGCTTAAGATCAATTAAAAAAAAAGAAAAAAAGAAAATTGATAAATGCCAATAAACGATAAATGCATAAATGTGAACGAAAATGAAAATGAGTTGTTACATAAGTGAAAGTTAATGTAAGTTAATGAATGTAATAGAAATTATAGGTTTAATAGATAAACTGATTTTAGGGTGATACATAAATACATAAGTTATACAATTAAGTTATTATAACAAAATGTTTGATTACCTAATCAGTGTGTTAGTGTAATACAAATTCTGTCTTTGCAATCTGAAGTTATACATTTAAGTGAATCTAAAAGGTTTGTAAATAAATTAATGTTTAGATATAAATATTAAATAATAATAATAATAATAATAGAACATTTTAAATATTGTGCAGGTGGGCGGTAGTATAGGGTGAGTTTTAAATAAATACCTACCAAAATATGGCAGCTGATAATGATTACACTAGTACAGAATAATTAAGTTACGTAATTTTTCATCTAGACTTAAGCTAGATCGACTACAATATTACATAATGTAAATTTTTGTAAATTATGTAACATAATTTTAAGTTTAATGTAGGTATTAATAATCGTAATAATTATCCATATTTAAATTGGTTTTACAAATAATATCCTTAATATAATGTAGTAGGGTAAAAATAATAATATATTGCAATAACGCATGCAGTTTTACCTACCTTTGCTCGGTACAACTCCACCAAACTATACCAATTAGTGAATTACACAAACGTCATTTATTGACACCTGCAGATGTTATATTATTATAGTCGTTAGAAAATTAAACTTTGAATGATACCTACTGGTTTATTGCATTTGACGACGACTCGAATGCAATAAATAAATTATAGTTAATAAATAGTAGGTACCTATAATATGTACAACACCGTACAGCGTACATATTATATCGTTAAACAATCAACTCAAACTAATAATTATTATTTCTTATAAAATTTAAAAAAGACGAATTTAGTGTAATGTTTTTTGAATGATAATTTGTAATCAACTAACCAAAATTTTAAACTGTCTATAGTATGGAAATATCGTTATGTAGGTCAGCAACGCGCACCAACGCAGAATAATAGCAATACAGAATAATAATAAAACGAGAAAGGATAATCGTCATGAGTAAATAACCGGTTAGTCGATGTAGATGTCGCCACTCGACGGAGTACCACTTCTATTCAATTACAACACAAATATGAACAGCTATAATAATACAAGATTTAGCTAGGTTCATAGGTAATTATTCTAAGGTATATCTATATTCAAGGCAGGAGTGGGATTCAGATAGGGAGGGGGATGGCGGATTAAAAAATTGAAAAAAAAATTGAACATGTATATTTTCTAGAATTTATGGTTTCACTATGAACTACTTACTGTCTGGAAATTTTTATTTTTTATTTTTATTTTAAAAACCTTAATAATAGCCAATAGGTATCCATTAAAGAATATTTTTTCATATTTTTAAAAATCTATTGCATGATTTAGAAATATTACACCTACTAACATACTATAATATTAATACGTATAAAATATAAATAGGTAATTATGTATCTACATTTAATAAATTTAACCAATTCTAAATGAAGATTAATAATTTAATTATCTATAGTATTAATATTTATTAACAATACTGATTTAGTGGTAAAAGTAAAATATATCTAAATAGTAAATAATAATATAGTTATTTGATTTCAGTATTAATTTACCGATTATCGAATTGAATAAACTTTATCAGTTAAAGAAATTGCAATGTGTCCAAAAAATGATAATTTGATGCACATAAATCTTAATTATTAAGTATAGGTATGAAATAAACAATAAATCACGTATGAAAAATGAAGGCATCTGGTCAATATATATTTTTTATTAATTTAGAATGAATTCTATTTTACTAACATATTATCCAGAGTAATAAATCGCTTTGTTTCTTATTCGAGTAATGTTATCCAAAGTTATTACAACCTACGTTCTACAATATCGCCCTCTAGATATTTCATTTAAATTGTTATTATAAATTATAATATAGGTATATCTACATTCAAAACTTAAGACAGCTTACAAGTTAATGTTAAATATATTTTTTAATTTATATATTTTTTTAGTTGGAACTATCGAGACTGATAAAATATATACAATTATGTATAATATTATTCTAATATATACC